ATAAACCTACCTATCATTCAGTGACATTCAGGCTATTCAACTTTAAACCGTATCCTTTACAGTTCAATGATCAATTTAATTTGTCGAACGTTTAGTTTGAACATTGTATTTATATCCACATAGAGCTTATGATAACCAGATGCAAACTCTAGCTACAAGAGCAAGATCATTTGTTCAACATAGTCAAAACAGCACCTCTTCTTGAATCATTCCAAGAGGAAGGTTAAACTGTCTGTGTTGCCAACAGAAATGCAACAACAAGAACTGGGGAGAAACAAAGCGAAAGAAAGATATATCAGACAGAAATTCGGGGCCTTATCAATCCTCCCCACTTACCTCAAGTGAAAACTTAATTGATTGCCAGCTCTTTAGAACCCTTACCGGCTGTTATATGAAGGCTTATTACTTTTACTATAATATCTAACATACCATCTCCTGTTGCTCTGTTGGACATGGATGTGTGTTTCAGAAGAAAATTTTAATCTCACACTGCCTCCGGCAGTCTGTTTTGATTATATTTTAATTTAAATTAATTCCAATGTAATTACCAGATTTTCATATGCAGCCCCCAGTTCATTACTAGACGAAATCCAATCATATATAACAATAATAATTACCTGATGGACATGTTGAACTTGAATGGAGGACCATCATAAAAATTAACCAAAAAGTCTTCTCCACATGTGACAATGCGAAAAGGCCTTGTTGGTTTGAATGCACAGCTTAAAACTCGCCGTGAATGACCATCAAAATCCCCCACAGTACTGCCTGAATCCCACCTAAGCACAAAATGAAAGATCCGAAATGGAATAAATAAGGCACCGAGGAGAAAAATGAACGTGTAGTGGCACATGGATTCAATTCTAGAAGGGATGAAGCTTACAATATGTTCAACCAAATTTTTAAACGCAGACCTTGCATAAGTATGAGACCGGACAAGTGAGGGAACTAAATGGACTCCAAATCCATACAACCAAACAAATATATGTCAAATCAAAGTTCGGAATCATGTAGGTTTATAGGAAATAAGGATTCAAAACTTTAAAATTGCAGTCTTTTGGCCATGACCCAAGTTAGAAAATATGCGTAAACTTCGATGCTTGGACACAACATTAACTCCAACCCCTTGGTCATCTCTTCGATGCGGCACTATTTAGAGTGGCCCCATGTATCACAAAACTCGAAACGAGCTGTTGCAGTTCCCATGACTTTTATAATTTATATTGACACTGACCAATATTGGTGCTACAAATTTTGCACAAAGAATGCGTTGGGGGGGGGGGGGATGGAAATTTGAGTATTTAATTCATAACAACCTTTTATGAAGAGATGCACTACATTATTAAATACAGACATAAGCATCTTGATAATATGTATCGGGGAAAATAAGATTCTGTTTATATGATATAATATCACATATACATTATACAGGCACACCAAAAAGTATTCTCGGTTATTTCCACCTAGGCAGTCTCATTATGAATTTAATCGTCCTCCTTAGAATTGAAGATGCTATGAAATGAAGCTATCTCTTCCTTCATCTATTCTCTTTGAAGGTAATTCTTGGATTAAACTCAAATGTCAAAATTTACAACTAATAAGTGCAATTATTTCGGCTTGACCGTGGTCCGAGAGCCATTGGCCTTTATCCCTGAGAATCAAGTTACTAAATCAAAAGGCATGGCTTAACAGACTGTAAACGAAGCCTCAATATAACAATGGCATAGCACGAGGAACTAAAATAATGATAATCACTTACATAAAAGCACGAACGAATGACTTCCCTTTGCCATCCCCACAAGCGACGATCCTTAAACAGTCTGCGGACCACTGAAGGTCATCTATCCGACCCGAAAGGACCCGGAACTCATTCTTAAGAACAAAATCGTTATGGGTGCCCCAGATCCGAACGGCGCCGGAGACATCCGCTGAAGCAATCCATTCACCATTGGGAGAGTACCGTGCCACAGTGACAGGGTAGCCGTGCTCGCCATAGACAGAAACCTGAAGCGGGTTATCGAGATTGCGGATCATGACGGATCGCCCAGTGCAGTATAGAACGTTGTTGGATTTCGGGTCGCCGGAAATGAGGATCCCCCGACCGCGTTCGGTGGAAGGCGCACAAGCATAGGTCTCTGAGAGGTTCGCCATTGTTGATGGTATCGGAATCGTGGATCAGGAAGGGCGTGATCATTCATGTTTACTGTTGATTAGGAACTGAGGTGGAGAAAGAGATGATGGGGTCCGATACTTGAGGAAGAAAATTTTGAACAAGTTTGCGGTTTGCGCGGTTTTTCGTTCGGGGCGATAGGCTTTATATAGTAAGGTGTTATGGTCATTTCGCGTTATTTATCCTAGTTACTAGGGCTCAGCAATGGGCGGGGTGGGCTAACCCGAAGGTTAGCCTATAGCCCGCCCATTTATTCATAAATGGGCATGGGCTAACCCATAATCCGGTAGTAGCCCATTTAGCCCGTATTAAATGGGCTACGGGGCAGTCCGTTTGGGCTGACTGGGTTACGAGGTAACCCATTTATTTTTTTAAAATTTTTTTCAGTATAGTTATTTTGTATATGTAACCTTATGAAGCTGTCAATAAATTTTACATGCCAAATAGCAAATCAAATATGAAATAACATCAACCATATTCAATCACACAACCTCACTTAGATTCGCAAACAATTAAAGTCTGATAAAATCATAAAAGTAGTCACCAATCATAAAGTCTCATAAACTTTGAAAATTCCAACTTTTACCTAAAGGATAAAATAAAAGTTTAGACAAACATGAATGTTTGATAAAAGATGAATGAGAAACAATATCATCAATTAAATTAAGAATAAAAATATTTTTAAAAACTTAAAACTTAAACGGGCGGGTATGGGCAGCCTAATACCTTGCCCATAGCCCAACCCGTTTAATGGGCTACCCCGCACATTTAAGCCCGCCCGTTTATAATATCTTATTTAGGCTAATTGGGCGGGCTTAAATGGGCAAAAATTTCATGGGTCATGGGCGGGCTAGCGGGTAATGGGTTTGTTGCTCACCCCTACTCGTTACTACTCCCTCCGTCCCTTATTATAAGAGACAAATAACCGAAGTACGTTGATCAAAAAAACAGTTAAAATTAGTTAAGAACAATTAATGTGTAAAAATTATAATTTTTTTCCAAAAATACCCTCATTAATAAGGAGAGAGAGCATGAAAGAGAACAATTAAATTATTAAAATAAAGAGAAGTGGGAGGGAGAGAGAGTGTGAGTTGAAGATAATAAATATGGGTAAAATAGTAAATCAACACAAAAAAGTAGAGACAACTTGTAAGTGTCTCTTATATATAGGAACATGTTATAAGCATCAAATGTCTCTTATAATAAGGAACAGAGAGAGTAATACTTATAGATTATTGGGACAATCACAAATAAAAACCGTAGAATTAGAAAAATCACAAATTGAGACTCATAACAATATTAGTATGAGTTTTGATAACAATAGTATGGGTTTTGATAATAATTTTTGTGAATTGATCCCTGTGTGTAATTTTTCTAATTCCATGATCTTTATATGTGATTTTCCTTAGATTATTTATTCCTCTTCTAATCCTTAATATAATACCCATTTAACTAATTTGATTAGATTAAGGAAGTTAGGTAAGTTAGTTAATTATAAGAAATGTGACACGTTTTTCCTAAAATACCATAATTATATTTCTTAATACCTCCTCTTTTTCTTTTATTTGATTATGGTTAAAAGAGTATCCATATGGGTAATTTAGAGAAATTAATAAATATGAGAAATGAATCTTATATTTAGGAACAAAACCAACTCAACAATTGGGTCTTATATTAATGACCGGAGGAGTAGTAGTTTTTTTTTTTTTTCATTTGTTCCAAAAATTTAACTTTAACCCTACTTTTTTTGTCATGGACTATTCACTTAATATAAGTCGATTGGGCACTACGGATAAAATAATACTCTTCTGATTTTTAATCCTTAATATAAGATCTAATTAACTAATTTGAATAAATTAAGAATGTCGGTTAATTTAGTTAATATGATGTGTTTTTTCTAAAACACTTTAAACATCTTTTTTAATTTTGCCCCCACTCCTATTTTATTATTTTTGAGAGAATATCAATAGGATTAATTTGAAAAAAAATTGATAAACATGCGAAATAGATATTATATATAGAACTAATATCAACTCTTTAATTAGATCTTACATTAAAAATAAGAGGAATAATATAAAATATAACTATAAATAATGAAGAGGGCCGTTTATTTTTAAGGCTAAGATAAGTACAATATTTTTTCAATTATTTTTAATCTTATTTTATTTTAATTTGATCCTTAAAAATTTAAAATATATAAGCAATTTCTGTTAATTATAATTTTTTTTTAATTTGGATGAATAATTGTATACAACTATTTTTCTGAGTTCTCATTTTTCAGTTTTAAATATGAACTCTGAAGTATTAATTTACATGTTTTTTCAAAAAATGTAGAGTAAATAACAAGGACATCAACATAGAGACTAAGTAATAAAAAACATGCACACATACTACATATGGCCGCAAAATAAACATGCCTAAGCTATAGCAACGTTAGGCTCATTCGAATCACAATTTGATAATTTCAAGGATATTGATCAGACATGACCAGCAAAAATAAATCTAAAAATGAGACGCAGCCATCATCAAATATATTAAGTAAAATTACAATTAACCCCCAATTTTTTTATAATAATAGTAATATGTTTTGATAGGAAGAAAAGAGCAATGAAATTTGAGAACAGTAGAAATCTGGGTTCTATTATTTTTTCAAAAAAAAAAAAAAAGGTTAACTACCATATTCTAGTTAATGTTAAGAGAACGTAACCAATATATGCAGAATGGATTAAGCATTGAATAGGAACAAAATGTGAAAACATGGATTGTTTTATTAGACATCAAGTTGACGAAATATATATGTCCAGATCAACTGGAACCAAAAACATTGTATTCAGGCGATGTTGTACTCACCATAAAGGGGGAAACTTTTGATAGAATTTAGCTCCCTGAGGACATCAATTGCATTCATTCTTTCATGAGGTGATTCCAGTGAACATGTGAGTCCGACCTTAAATAAAGAACGCAAGCATTTCTCAACACTGGGATGGATTTGCATCATGTTCTTCGATGAGTCGCTTGAAGTTCCCCCTATATTTTCTGATTGTCGTGGAAGAATGCTTGGGCTCACAACTTCTAAAAGCTTGCCTGGAAATACAACTTTCACATATGTTTGAAGATGATGACCATCTTCAAACATATCTTCATTGGGTCTTCTTTTAGTTAACATCTCTAAGACGAGAATCCCGAAGCTATACATGTCACCTTGTATTGATGTCTTGGAACCGATTCCATATTCTGAAATATTGTAAGCATATTAATTCTCTTATAAACGATCATTACAAAAATGGAAACAATGTGTTTGAAAGCATAATAAATTTGGAGGATCTTGTAGCGAAAAAAAATCAAAAGATACCTGGAGGTACATAGCCAACGGTTCCCTTTATACCAATCGTGCTGCTTTGTTCATTAGAAATGACTTCACCAGGTGGGATTAGTCTTGCCAATCCAAAATCACTCAAATGAGCAACCATGTTGATATCAAGAAGGACATTGTTTGGCTTCAAATCACAGTGAATTAGAGGATGCCCATGCTCATAGTGAAGATAGTAGACACAATATCAATGAGGATATTTATTATTTGATCAAGAAGCAAAACTCTTGCATCATCTGATTTTTCTGTATTGGAGTGCAACCAATTTTCTAAGCTTCCATTCACCATATACTCATAAACTAGAGCCTTGAATTCATAGCCCTCGTAATCTATGCTAGAGCAAACTGTTATTATTTTTACCAAATTTCGATGCTTTGCATTTCTAAGTGCATTACATTCAGCAATAAAACTCTTGTGAGCTCCTTTTATTTGAAGGTCAATAACCTTTATCGCAACAACCTCTTAAGACTCAAGACTTCCCTTATATACCAAGCCAAAACTTCCAGATCCTATCAAGTTTTTGACAGAGAATCCATTTGTAGCATTGTCCAAACTTTGATATGATACTTTGGAAATCATGTCAATTGTTGGTGAACTCAAAGAAGATTTCTTGCTTCTTCTCCTCCAATGATAAATAGCAACAATAGATGCCAGAAGAAGAAAAGCAATCACACAACATGTTGATATGATCAACTTGAAGTTTTGATGTTTTCTTTGTCCATTAGATTTGATAGGGCATGGTGGCAGCTCCAACTGTGATATGCCTCCACAAAGCTTGTTATTCCCTATAAGCGATGTTGCGCTTGCATTGCTAAAGACACCTTTTCTTGGTATCTCCCCATCAAGCATGTTGAAAGAAATATTTAGGTACTCCAAAGCAATATCTTGCAGGTCTTTTAGAATTGATCCAAACAAGTTATTTTGTGACAAGTCTAGATATCTCAAACCTTTCAATGAAGCCAAAGATAAGGGGATGTCTTCTTGAAAGAAGTTCCCTTGCAAACAGAGATACTCTAAGCTTTGACAATCTCCAATGGTTTGAGGAATATTTCCAGTTAAATGATTATGAGAGACATCCAATTTATCAATCTTTGTTAACTTTCCCACCTCATTAGGAAGATGGCCAATAAATGAGTTACGTGACAAGTTAAGTAAGATTGATAAATATGGAAGACCCATCACGTGGACTATTGCCCCACGAAAATTGTTTTGTGACAGATCAAGATATACTAAGCTTTCACAATTCCTTATACTTGGAGGAACCTGTCCTTCTAACATGTTATTTGACAAATCTAGGTGAAATAACCGAGTGAGGTTACCTATGAAACGAATAATTTTTCCAGACAATTTGTTTGCCGATAAAGATAAGAATTCCATGCTTTGAAGCTTCCCAAGAGTTGTCGGGATGATCTCAGCTAAGTGATTATTGTCCATACTCAGTGATCTCAAGCTAAGGAGATTTCCAAGTGCTTCAGGAATTTGGCCATAGAATTGATTATCTTGAAGATAGATTGATGTGAGGTGGGTGGACCAATTGCACATGCAGTTTGGTAAATGACCTCCGAAATTATTGAAAGTCAAAACTAGTTCGTTCAATTCACTACAATTCATCAAGGATTCAAAGAACTCTAAGTCTTTAGTAGTGGAGTTGCTTCCAAGATTATTGGAAAACAATTCTAGATAAGAAAGTTTATGCAACTTTCCTAGATTTGGAACTGGTCCGGTGAAATGATTTTTTGGTATTGTAATACCTGAAAGCATAGAAGCATTTACTATGGACACTGGGATAGGACCTGTGAATTGATTTCCTCCAAGTCCCAGGACTTGTAGATTAGGAAGGTTCAAGAACATATTGGACGGGAGAGAGCTATTGAAGTGATTTAGTGCAAGGTCCATGACAATGAGAGATGACAAATTGTAAAGAGCAGAAGGAATTGCACCTGAAAGTTTGTTGAAAGATACCGCAAATACTGTCAAAATTTTCAACCAGCCTATTTCTTCAGGTATACTCCCCTCCAAGTTATTATGACTCAAAGAAAGAATCCTGAGAGAAGTAAGATTCCACAACGAAGTTGGGATTTCTCCAGTGAAATTGTTAAGAGGTAGAAACAAACCTTCAAGCTTATGGAGAGAGCCAATCTCCATTGGTATTTTTCCAACGAGATGATTCCCTCCAAAAGCCAAGAGCTTGAGGTTAGAGCAACTTGTGATGTTGATCGGAAATTCTCCCGTCAACGTATTATTTTGGACAAGAAGCTTCTGTAATCTGAACAAACGACCGAAATCTTGTGGAATTTCTCCGTGGAAATTACTGTTGTCAAGAACGATGACTCTTAGGAAGGAGAGATTGGCAATGAAAGGTGATATTGGCCCAGACAATATAATTTATATCCGTTTAAAGCCAACCGAGTAACTCTATCATGTTTGTGACCACAAGAGATTCCATGCCAGTTGCAGAACTGTGTTGAAGCATTCCAAGAGTCCAGGATGTGATATGGATCACTGGATATTGATTCCTTGAATTTGATTAAAGACAAGTGATCCGTTTCGTTGCCCAATGATGATGAAACAGATTTACAAGATTGAAACATCAGAGTAAACAAAGCAAGCAAGTGAAGGGACATGGTTGAGAAAGAGGAGGCTAGCTCGGGAGCTCTTTGTATGGAGAAGCACACTTGTGCTGATCTGTGATTAGTTGGAGGACATAAACAAGTAGAGGTAAGTGGATGGTGTGGATTTGGTGAGCACATGTGGCTTGAGAGACAACCATATATAATGTCTTTGAATTCTGATCTAAGAAATTTAAATAGCAAGGGGAAAAAAAAACAAAATCTCTGCCTTATCGTATACTTCCTTACAAATAATATGATAATTTTAAAAAATAACTACATTAGACCTAAAAAATAATAACATAAGTAAACAAATTTTGAGCAAAAAATAATATAAGTAATTAGGATTATGCGTATTTTTCTTCAGTAAAAATTATATTGAGAAGGTTATTATGTTTTCATTTTAAATACATTCTTCATCATATGTTATTTCAATGATATGATAAAATTTTAATCATCTTTTTTTTGTACTTGTGAGAAAATCTTTTAAATTAATTTTAATTTGTTATAGTTGCTGAATTGATGACTCACACGATTTTCATGAATATTAATCATCCTCTAATAACTTCCTTTCCGGAAATCGTTCAATTTTTTTTTATTTAAAATTCTGAAATTTTAAAAATACTTAATTTCGAATTATTTTTTTGCTAAATAATTACATGCATGGGAGGAATTATAAAAGTCTTGGTCAAGAACACAAGCTGGAATAGTAGTTATTGCACATGTACAAGTATATAGCACGCAAAACATATGTTCCTCTCGCTGTCTTATGGAAGATTATTCGAATAATCCCAATGGATCTTTTTTATTGAACAAGTGAGTGTAAGAAACATATTGCACGCAATATTGCTATATATGGACAATAATGATCTCCAAGTCATACTACCCTTAAATGAATGGTGATATTTTATATTTTCTTGACCTCATACTGAAGGGATGTGCTTAAAAAGATAATTAAGCTTGGAGAGAGAAATGACTTCTTCAAGCAGACAAACTTGAATAAAATTCTATGCAAATGGACGTGCTACAGTTAACAATTTGACGGGGGTTGTGAGATTGTGAGTTCGACTTTTCTTAGGTATGATGATGTTTGTGTAAGTTTGACCTCTTTGCACATACTTAAATAGATAAGCATGGAACGAAATTAAAAGTCTTCCTTAAGTAGGCAAACCTGAATAAAAATCCATGCGCATAAGCGTACTATAGTTAAAAAATTGCTGGGGCCTTCCAGTCCAATAACACTAGTCTCTTTTAAGTATTTTTTTAATATAAGGTTGCGAGTTCGATCTCTTTATATATATATATATATATATATATGATATGTGTGTGAGTTCGACCTCACAATAGATACTTAACTGGTTAAGTATGAAAAGAAATGTCTTTCTCAATCAGAATAACTTCAATAAAAATCTATGCACATAGACGTGCCATGGTTAATAAATTGGTAGGACTTTCAAGTCTAATACTACTAAGCATCTCTTTCAAGTATTTTTCAAGTGTCAAGTTGCAAGCTCGGCGTCTCTATAAATATGATGTGTGTGAGAGTTCGACCTCTCAGTAGATGCTTAAATAGTTAAGCATGGAAAGAAATATGTCTTCCTCAAGCAAAATAACTTGAATATAAAAATCTATACCAAGCATCTCTTTCACGTATTGTTAAGTGTGAAGTTACCGGTTCGATCTCTTTGTAGATACTTTAATAGATAAGCATGGAAAAAAAATATTATCTCACAGTCCTAATTATAAAACCTCATTTATAAACTATAAATAAGGTCTTATAATTAGGATTGGAGGTGGTATCTTCTTAAGCAGAGTAACTTGAGTAAAAATCTATGCACATAGACGTGCTATAGTTAACAAATTGACGCGGCTTTATAGTCCAATAACACTAAGCATCTTGCAATTGAGAGGATCAATGTCTTGGTCAAGAAGACGAGCTTGAATAGGATTTATTGCGCTTATGCAAATATATATAAGAGGCAGAGGATCGTTCCTCTCATTATCTTATGAAAAATTCAAAGAATCCCAATGGATCGTTTTTATTGAAAAAGTCAGTCTAAGAACCATATTGCACGTAATGTCATTATATATGGACCGCAATGATATACAAGTCACACTACCCTTACATGAATGATAATATTTTATATTTTATATTTTGTGGGTCTCATATTAAAATTATGTACTTAGGTAGATATTCCCTCCGATCCTAAATATAAGACTCATTTTATAGTGTAAATTACACTAGAAATGAGTCTTATATTTAAGACCTGAAGAATAATAAGCATGGAAAGAAATGTCTTCCTCAAGCAGGCAAATAAAAATCTATGCACAAAAATATACTTATTTGATGTGTAAGTTCCGTATGATACGTGAAAGGTGGGGTCTTGTTATCCAGAACGGAATATGAGCTTAGCGAGCATTGCCGCTGAGGAAACTTCAGAGAAGCCAAATATACATTTAATGGGATACACGTGGTGGGGTATTATTAGTCACCATACTTTTTGACAATCTTCCCACACAAAAATCTACATTTGATGCGAAAGCCAAAGTCTTGTTTGCTTGGAAATCATCTTAAGATAATATTTGTTATATTCTTATTATTACAAATAATTTTTTGTTATAAAATAAAATGGAAAAATACATTTATATGAGAATATAATAGTTAACAGTCTTTTACTCAAATTCTGATTTTTATAATATGGAATGTTAACTTTCAGGCATTCCTTTAACAGTTAAAAAATTCTATAAATTGTTGTTCTAAATTTATATATATATGTATAAGGACTGATTTATTTAAGACAAAATTATAGGAATTGAATAGTTTCAACTTAAAATTCAAAGACTAATTCAATAATTGAAATTTTTTTCTTATTTTAAAATATCATAGGAGTTGTATGAAAAGTAGAAGAGAGGATTTTTTTTTCTCTATATGAAATTTGAGATATGTTAATATATTCTTGTTACTATGAGTTAATAAAATTATACTTCTTATTTTTGGTTACTGTATTTAAAAATACCCTTATTTTACATTAAATAAAAAAGTTTGAAAAATTTTAGTACTTAAAAATGAATTGATTATAAAGGCCTTAAAGGAGGTAAGTGTTATGAACGGGTAATGTTCTAAGATGGACTTGGGCTATGAGGCAAATTATGGGTAGCGGGCCACAGGCTTCAGCTGGGCTTACGGAAAATATTGGGTATAGAGAAGGCCGATAGGATAACATTATCATTATCATTCATATTAAAGACAGAGTTGAAACAAGTTTTAATCCATATAGTAGATCAAAATAATCCTAAAATGACTACACTAGCTACACATGTTTAGCCAAGAGCTACAAATACAAGGATATTTTGCAGCCATTACATAAACAAAAAAGAAGAGATGAAGAAATCAAGAAAAATGGGGAAATTAAAGAAGCTTTAAATCTCTTTCAATCTTCAAGCCCAAAGCTCCCAAGCTCTAAAACCTCCAAACCTTAGTAGAGAACTCCTCCAAATAGGTCCCCAAGTCGAAGTCTGGCCAAGAATCCCGAGTTTTCCCTTTTATATGCTCTAAATTTTAATTTATAACACAAAATGCATAGTTGTTCAAGGACAGGCACCACAACGGATTACATAGAGAGGAAAACTCTTTGGTAGGGATTTAGCCAAGCGCTGTGTTGCCTAGTACAGAATGCCTCTCCTTCTTTTTTGCTTCAAAGGTGGTAGCAGATTACTTTGGCATTGTGGCGGATTACGCGTTCTTGGCTTTCTTTAGTTGGTTCTTCCATTCTTGCTCGCTTTGTGTCAATAATCTTCTTCTGATCAACCAAAATAGGCTAAGTATTTCTCTTTGTTGTTCATCTTCCAACTCTCACTACTTCCTATACCAAGAATTTTATAAGCATTGTAGAAATAATCTCCAAATGTTAGCACAAATCAAACTTCACATTTTCAAGTCATATTTTTCGGCTTTAAGGGAATAACCTTACACACTTGGCTTTCAAATCCCACAAAAGAGTATTAAAACAAGCTAAATTGGTAAGAATTTCAAAAGGTTATCAGCGCAATAACTGGCATAAATTAAACAGTATAAAAAGGTGTTTTTCTAATAGTGATTGGACTTGAGGAGATAAGTGCGGGAGGAAAAGCCTCCCCTTTTTCTTTTTGCAATTTCTGCTATATGCTTTTTAGTGGTTTCGTGGCTTTGGGAGTTACCTTCATATTTTCTACGATTCAGAATTTTCGTGCCTCCTGCTTAAAGTCATGGAATCTTCGAAGAAGCCAAATATGTATGGATATATAGATCGTTTGGTTAGATTTTAATTTCTGAAAGGGAGTTACATATAATCATGATGCAACCAACTGATTTAGATATTTAGGTAGACTTATATAATTTGAAGTAGGTTACATTTGTAATCCCAACTATCTTATGTAAAAGACTACATTGTTCCCTTTAACTTTAGACCCCTTCAATTGTAAATTCATTACACTTCATGATCGTCTTTGATAGTGTAGTTAAGTAATTTAGTTATGAGATTAAGTTATATGTAACTAAATATGTTAGCTGGCATTAGCTGTCACGCATAGTACTCTTCCTGCTCTCTGTCTTTACATGTAGTGCTCTTCTATAAATAGTGTACAAGCTCTCATTATTATAATATAATACACTATTCAGTCAAACACTTTTGTCCTATTCTCCATCCTCTCTCTCCTTCACAATACCTTTATGGTATCAGAGCTTTCAGATCCTGAGGCCATGTCAACATCGTTCGAAACCGCTTCGTCTCGTTCTCAACACAAGAAGGATGTAGTTACCTTCTCCCATCTTGTTTCGGTCAAACTGGATGAGAGCAACTTTCTGATTTGGAAACACCAAATCACATTAGCTATCTGTGGCCATGATCTCCAATCATTCATCGACAAATCTGCCAAACCTCCATCTACAAGCAGTTCGTCCTAATCCAGCCTATCTTGACCGGGAACGGCAAGATCAGTTACTTGCTTCATGGATGTTGTGTTCCATGACTGATGCAATGCTCACTTGAGTGGTGGGCTATACGACCATG